AGCTTTGGCGGTCCCCATCTGCGAAGTCATTTTGTCCACGACGAACGTTTTGACTGCATATTGTCCACCCATCATATCCTTGAACAAGCTGAACAGCTTGCGCAATGGCGCAAAATGCTCGCTTTCGACAAGGCACACATTACGGGTCAACCGATCCCCATGCCATCTGTCACAAGGAATGCATAAAGCTTGTAACTTAACAGCGACCGTCAGGGACTCGAAATTTATTTATCGAAGACGGTTAGTACCGTGTGTAGCACCAACGTTTACAACGCCTGGGAAACCTCTAAAAAGTGCTATCTGCTGCGTTCGAGAAAAGCGCAGGTGATTATATTTGCCACCCTCTGATTCTACCAGCAGCACACGACCGCGCTGTCGAAACTTGGCTATGCTGGACGACATGTCATCTGAGAAAGCGACTAAAAGGTAACCAGTGACCTACTTAACAATGGGGGTCGACATTAGACGAGAGAGTTACGCACATCCTTGATAGTGAGTGCCTTTCAAAAGTGGTCGGCGACGTACTGCCGAATCTCCGATGACGGAGCACCGTATTTAAAAAGGGTAGAACACTCCTTTAATTCATCACTTGTCAGTCGCCGGTTGATGGGGGGCCTGTCAAAAATAAACTTGCCGCGCGGTTGGTTGTGCTCCAGGTAGTAGGAAGTAACCCTCAAGCAGTCATGTTACCGGAGAACGTGAACCTTGCCGGACAATCAGTACGACGTGTGCTACAACGTAAACACAATCAACCATGAAGTTACTAGGTGCGACGAATTCCACGGCTTCTGCTTCGCCTGCAGGGATATCTGCTGCAACGTTAGACGGCTTTTTCATACAAAAGTAGCGAATTGCTGCTCTTTTTGGAGTTTATACGGACGAAAACAACGAAATGTTTCGTCTGGTGCTCTTTCAAAGCGACTTGAAATGCACTGAATGGGAAAAAACTTTGATGAGCTAAATTCTCCACAAAACCATCCTCCGCATTCACGTGCTCAGCCATATCGGCCATTTAAAATATGATTATCGCGGGCCTTGAATATCGTGGGGATTGAGTAGATTTAAACAACTTTCAGCAAAACTGCGGCCGTTTGGGAAGATCTCATAAGCCCGAAAAATTACCACCAAATGTTAAAAATTTATGCTAAAGTTTTCCTCCTTCAAACCACGGTTTCAGAGAAATTTTGGATGTGCCTCTAGCGGCGTGCGTGGACAATCACGAAACAATTACGTTTTTAATTGTGGCGCGTTGACTGTGGGCGCAATCGTTGCTTGAGGCCCACCAGTGGCTGAGAACACCACGGTTTCAGAGAAATTTTGGATGTGCCTCTAGCCCACGGCGTGGACAATCACGAAACAATTACGTTTTTAATTGTGGCGCGTTGACTGTGGGCGCAATCGTTGCTTGAGGCCCACCAGTTTGCGGCTGAGAACCCGACAAAATTACGTCTCAAAACACTGTTTAACTCGGGTTGAACATGTAAATTGGGACGTACGAGGGATTAATGCGAATTAGGGATATATATGACCACTGTTGAAGAAACCACGCAAAGACTGCCAGCACACATTTTGCTCCTTAGCACCAGGTAGGTACCCTTCTTTAAAAAAGTGATAAATAAGGCGCCCCAGCGACAAGAGACCGCTGCGGCCCGACAGTTGACGTTATCTGCAACTGTTACACATCCCTATTCAGTGTTAGCTATTTCATAAAAGTTGTTTCCAGCGGAAGGCTAGTGTAGCATCTTCCTCTAGCCATGCGAAAACCACAAAAAGACTGAAACCCCTCCGACTCTGTTGAAATTTGTTTGAATTATTATGTTAGTGAATTTTGGCGCCCATCCAACTTTGATATCCACCGACAATCTAGCAGACCGTCGGCTGGACTTCACATGAAACGTTGATTGAGAAACTGGGGGCTGCGTAGTTTTACCATTTGCAACATTCAAGAAGGCGCTAAACGAAAACATGAAACCTCATCTGTTGTACTTCTGTGCACAGTGTGCAATAGAAGCATTATGGGTAGCTGTATTACATGCGTAGCGTGCAACGCCACAAATCAACCAAAAATCAGATAAAACGACTAGAATGAGCACCCCTACACACATGAGTGCAGCAAAACGACACGTCAGTTCCGTAGTAAACAGACGCTGAGCTCAAACGCCAGAAGCAGAAGACACTATTAAGGTTCAAATTTTACGGTTGAATAATAATAATGCTGTTAATTTCCAGCCGGAGGTTGCTATGACGTGAGTCTTGATTATAAGGTAAGGCGAATCTTATTACTATAGATGCAATGTAAAAATAAAGCATAAAAAAGCGGGAAGACCTATTAGTTTTTTGGGTTCTTGGTGAGGTTCGGCGAAGAGAGGCCAGATGTAAGGACCCTTTTCTTGGCAATGCTGTTGCCACACATATTCCTTGATGTCCGTGACCTGAGTTGGCTGATGTTAGATCAAAGAGACGGTGCGGTGTGCAGTTGAGGTGTATTGTGCTGGTGAGTTCGGTTTCTTGTGAGAGCAAAACTCCACATGGGGTCTTTCGGGTTTGACAGTGGCATGAAGCCAGGCGCTTCGCTGACGTGCACCAAGGTTGTATGACACATGATGCAGATGGTTTAAGAATTACCAAACTAGGCCAAATGGTCAAAATACACTGAGTAAGCTAAGCTGGTTGATAGAAGATGGAGTTATTCACTGTCGACTTTGATGCACTAAGGTGAAATATCTGTAAACCGACAGACAAAAGAGGGGAGACTGAACAAGAGATTACCATCCACCATTGGTTTTCTGGAGTTGACATCGGTGACTCGGTGACTGGTGATCCTCAATCTTACTCTCCTGTTAGGTTGACGTAGTAGACCTCAGGTATGCTACGGTTTTTATCAATTATCTGGGAAGATGTTGCTTTTTACTCTGAAACTGTCACTGTTCACACTGACCCCTCTTTCTGCACAACAAGGGCCCTATGTCACGATGCTTTGGTAAGCCCAAAACTACCACCCGTTCTCAACTAGTCCAACAGCTAGCATCCCTGTTGGCTACCTCGGCGACAAAGTTTTCACCTTCCTAAAACTGGGCACCTTCTCTGGCCAAACTAGTACTTGGCTTCTAGATCAGCAAACGTGTGCACCTTTCTTGGGTCCATTTAGCTTGCCGTCATCTTTTAGATTTTTCTATTGACACCGTTGTATCTTATCCCTCCTAACACCCGCCACGCGCTACTGCTTTCATTCTATTTCTTTCCCAAGCTTCAAACCTCGACGCAGTTGCCCAAACGCCCCGAATAACTGTTATTTATTCATACTTGCTGGTGTCCGGCCTACACTCACACGGTCCTCAAACGAAAGGAAAATTACCCGCGGGCCTACATCTGCATGATTCTGTGTCAGTATCCTTCTCACCCAGAACCAGCTGCCACGGAACTGCGTACCCCTGCTCCGACCCTTGATGACCGTTACGGGGCTGTCCGTTACCCGAAGTATGTCAGTACGATGATGGAATGGCACTGTCATACCCAATGAAATGGCACTCCCGCAACTATTTTCTCCAAAATCTCGACTCAACCCCTTGGTATGTCAGTACGATGATGGAATGGCACTGTCATACCCAATGAAATGGCACTCCCGCAACTATTTTCTCCAAAATCTCGACTGCAACCCCTTGCCCACTCAAGCCTGTAGTCAACTACAGGGAACTACGAGCAAATTTTTCATCTGGCCCCGTCTCTGGGATGAACTCTTCCGTACGCGAAGAATTTTCGCTCAGATATGGCTAGTCTGGTTTTTCTGCTGCAATTTCGGCTTGCCTTCTTCACAAGTTCAAATCCGTGTGTGGTGTTCGTATCGCTCCACGTATTACCAGCTTGCCCCCATCCAACCTATCTACTGCATCTGAATTCCCTGCAACAGTGCAGCCAGTGTGTCTGCTTAGTTTCAGATTAAACCACATTTCTGAGACAAAATTCGCCATGTGCTCCAAATTTGAATTATTCCCTCTCCATATCACTTTTGCTCGCCGTGACTCCGGTCATTTACCTAACCACTCAAGGTCACTCATGGCCAGCAATAGCTTTTAGCTTTAGTTCATGCCAGCGGGCTATGTCTCTGAACTGGTAAAACCTCATGCCCATTGTTCCCAACAAGTTGGGAGCGAAAACTAGTGTTACTATTTCATCGGATGTTCCCACTGTTTATGACATTGTCCTCTTTTTGTGCAATCCGCACCCCACAAATCCCCCAGTCATGCTTCATTCTGACTGTAAAACTTTGACCATGCCAGACGGTATGCCCCCCACAAGTTGGGAATAAACATTGTTATTATTATTAAGTGAAGACATTTATCTATAGAGTGCACACCTTGAAATCTCCATAGTTTCTAAGGGATTCCTTTCATTCGTCGGGAGCGATGGGCACGTGCTTGCGCTGGGGTTTTAGGGTAGTTGACCAACAAGGGCAAGCTTGGACCCGAAACACGGACGCCGACAAGAGTTGCTTTCATCTTAGTTTTCATGTCCTTCTTTGCAGAAGGCAGCTTATGAAGTTCATCATGCATATGGAGTATTTTCCAGGGATAGGGCGCACAGTTGAAGCGAGATTTGCCAACCGTGCATTCTTTTGCATCGCCATGGACGGGGGTGCGGAATGGTTCGACATGTTGCGGCAATATACGGAGAGCTCCAAAAGCTTCCGTACAAAAGCAGTGTCCACTGGGAGCGCTTTCCCCATTCCCACCTAACTTTGTAACCAATGAGGTAATGAGGCAAACGCTGAAGTCTCTTGTGAACCTGGTTCTCATATATAATCTCGCAAAAATCTAGTCGAACTGGAGTATGCAGATATCCTTCTCATCTTCGAAGGGGAGGAAAAGACGCATGTGCTTTGGAAGAACTGACCAAATTGTTTCTGTGGTTGGTGTGCAGCTTTTACCCACGCATTGTCACGTTATCATAATGATGTTACTTTACAACAGGTGGATGGCGTACCGTCAGGCATGATCATAGGGCTAGTCAGAGTAAAGCGCACGTTTCTTTGTAGTTGCAGGTAATGGAACAATTGGGTGGTAGAGTACGGTGAAGAAAGGGAACGGCATAGTTGCGAGTGTGCTATGAAACTGGGAAAAGCAGTGCCATACCGTCATTGCACCGGAATACTTCAGTTTCTATACAGCCCCGTAAATGACCTATTTTAGGGGGCTTGGGCCGAAGAAGTTCCAAGAGGTAGATCCGTTGAAGTGATAGTCTGATGCAGTATTGCAGATGAGGTCAATGCACAAATCAGCAATGCTCGGGTCGCGTTTGCTAATTTGAAACACCTATAGGGCCAAGGCGGTGAATACCAGGTAACGTGATTATTAGGCTGTAGTATTGACGTTTCTGTTGGATGGCTGAAATCTGGCACGTTTGAAAGTGGAACCAAGGCGTTATCAAGTCGTTGACGACAGTTTTCTCAAAACCATAGCTCCTGCTGGTCGGTGCAGGCAAATCCGTAGGGCGATAACTACATAGCGGTTGCTCGTTTGTGCACCCGGGATTTCCATTTAAGAACGTGCCTGTGCAGTCTCCAGCTAGATCACTATCATTAGCTGAGGCGGTTGGATCGCATCGGGTTTGGCCATGTTACTAACTCATTTATTCGGATATAGCTGATATGATTTCGGAAGCAGAGTGGGTTGCAATACCTCGACATGAACGATGATTTAGATGAAGCCCAGAAGGGTGCTCCTTGTTGGTTAGATTGCTACTGTGGTTGAATATGTGGTCATTATGAGTTTTGATGAGGAAGACCGAGCTGCCGATTTTATTAAGTTACATTGTATCGGTATCGGAAAGCAGTATTAAAGTGAAGCTGGGATTTAGTGCTTCAAACGGGCGGATTTGAAATCAAGCACCCACATACTTGTAGCACTTGTAAACTGCTCTTTTTCATGCTCAGTATCATCTTCTTTTTTCCATCATTATCAGTCACATCGCTGTACAAACGTTTGTTTTACTGAAATACAACCACTACCGCTCCTCAACTCTGACAGTTTCATTATTTGTGACATATCCACAGGACGCACAAGACCTTTTGTTCCTGAAAAACAGACGCTCTGTATTCGACGACTTCCACGCACTTTCTCATCCAAGCATACGAGCGACTGCCAAACTTGTGTCACAAAGATACGTTTAGCCGAATATGCAAAAGGAGATACGCACTTGGGCCAAGCACTGTCTTGACTGTCAGAAAAGCAAGATCCACCGACACACCATTTCTCCAACTGGTGTGTTTCAACTTTCCGACTCACGCTTTCGAAATGTACACACTGGCCTGGTTGGACTTTTGCCCCCATCCAGAGGTTTCACACACATACTCACCTGTGTCGACCATTTCACACGCTGGCTCGAGGACACCTCTGCCGAAATCGTTGCTAGAACCTTTGTCGATAGCTAGATCGCTACATTCGGTGTACCCGTTACCATTACCACCGACCGCGGTCCACAATTCACTTCAACACTTTTTCATGACCTCAAACGGCTACTTGGTACGGATCACTTCCGAACAACTGCATACCATCCGGCTGCCAACG